ATTACTTTCAAATTTATCAGAATTTTATGTACCGATTCTTAAATGTCTGTTTTGGTAGAATCAATATTCAAATTTATTTGGGTTCCTACTCATTTTAAATTTAATTAATTTTAATTCGACTCGCTTAAAATTGGTTGATTATATAAGGAATGCTTTTTTGTAACATTAAAGGGTCAAAAATATAATTAAAATATCTTAATTTATTATGTGTCATATTTGAGTTCTCACATAAACTATCATCAAATGTTTATCAAAAGTCAAAACATATTTTACATATTCGTTTATTTTTTTCTATATAAAATACCACCATTATTTAAGTAGAAAAAATAAATTGTGCACTATGTGTATATGTTTAAACTCACTAGACGATGATAGAAGCGTACATGATCGGATAGTGATATAGATAAAAAATTTATAAAAGGTATCCAAAATAACGGACAGTGGTGTAGGCAAAAAATTTGTGAAGGAAAATGTAACCATGGGGGATTTGCATTAGTATTAATTTGATTTTTGATTTAAACTTTATTATAATTACCAATATGTATGATTATAATCTTTATTGGATCATTAAGAATTCTAACTTTCAAACATAAAATAAATATATTAAAAGATAAAAACTATAAAAAAGTGTAAGAAATATTTAAAAATTATACCCAAATAAATATTTTTACGTATTAAATAAAATCTTAAAAATTATATATATAATATCGGGTTGATTCTTTTTAGTTGAAACCAAACTTATCCAACTATAGTGGGATGTTTTTTCAAAATCACTAGTCGAATTTTTTTTTTGTTCGACTTGATTTGCCGTTTGGTTCGATTTTTCGATTTGATTTTGTACCCTTATATGATGACTTGAATTTGTAATTTTATGGTTGGAGGTAAAAGGGCAATTACTATCTAAGACCACATTTGTTTTTATTAAAGGGAAAATTAACAAATTAGTCACAATCCCTAACTTAATTAATAAAAACATCTACATTTTAAAATAATTATTTAAAATGTCGAAATGTCAATATTTTATAAAGTGATTTGTATTCAAATTTTATTTCTCAAAAAGTTCAACTCCGAATCAAATTCTATATCCATTATCCATTTACACTTCTTCATATTCATATGTTTTAGTACCATTAAATTTATTTTTCATCTTTCATCAACTTTTCAATTTTCACTATCCCCGTCATTCAGTTTTCTCTTCTTTCTTTTCTTTTATCAAAATTTCATTATTATTCTCTCTCATTGTTGAAGAAGAACTAATTATTAAAGTTTGTAACAATTAGTTCAGATCTATATATTAATCAAAAAATCTCTCAATTGATAAAGACATTTTTAAATTCATCATTTATTTTGTGAGATTTTGTTTTCAAAATCACATTATGTTGAATTTTTGGATTGTATGTATTGAGGATTTTCCGTCATTCTTTTAAAATTCTTATGTGACTTGTTAACGTACTCATAAAATATTTATGTATTTCAGATTTTTAGTATTTAAAATAATTTTTGTCGATCTTTTTTTATTATTTGTTTTTATATTTCAAATTTAGTAGAATCTACATTAACATTTAGGTATTGAGTTGTTTAACAAAAGTATTTGAAAGTTTTGTAATTTGTAGTCAAATTTATTTTTACAAAGTGATAATCTAAATACAAATCTGTGTTTTAATTATTTAAAATTGTGAATGAATACTAAATCAAAGATAAACTAGTTGGTATAAACATATAATGAGCAAAATAAAATACAAAACTATTTGACTGATGCAATTAGGATGAATACATATATAATGAATACATAAATAAATTGTATTTTGTCTATTTATAGTTGAGAATGAATACGAAATCAAAATATAAATACAAAACTTTATGGTATACATTAGGACGAATACGAAATCAAATATAAATACAAACTTTATGGTATTCATTAGGACGAATACAAAATCAAATCTAAATACAAACTATTTCGTATACAAAGTGATATTGGAAATAAGCAAAATAAAATACATATGTAAGATGGATTAATATCTATACCATGAATACATGAGTATTGTATTTTGAATATTGAAATTTTTTTTAAAAGGAGATACATAAATTTAATAACCTTAACATGATAGCCAAATAACTTCATAAATTTTGAGACATTTTTAAAGATAAATTATAATTTCATAACGCCAAAATGATGCCTTAGTTGAATAAATTGCTTCAAATATGATAATGTATGGTAAATACACATGTTTAGAAACAAAAAAAAATTAAGAAAATTGAATATTGAATTTTTAGATTAATGGTGATAGGCGTGTTTTTCTAGAACATCGTAAAAGAAGAAGAAAGAGATGGAAGTTATTGTATTTTGATAAATTGCCAATTAATTCTTTATTTTTGAATTTTTGTAACTGATAAGACTTTTAAACAACTGTTTCTTTTTAATATTTTTCTCTCCCGTTAATTTCCTCCTTTCTGTTTTTAACAAAAAAGAAATTGATATTTTTACTAAATATTGAAAGTATTGACAATGAATCCTATAAAATATCAAAATATTTATATTTTTTGAAAAATTTTTCATTATTAAATTCAAGATATCTAAATCCGAATAATTAAGATATTATTTCTAAATTCAAACACTAAAAGGAAAGTCTCGTAAATATACAATAAAATAGTTTCATTTGTACCAAAGAAAATCAACTTTTCATAAACATAAAAATAGCCCAGCGACATATGTATACGCAACAAAATAAAATTCCAACAAAATGGTTATAGGTATTATTATATAATGTATCAATTTGTATAAACAGTGAATACTCGTGTATATATGATGTTTAACTATATATCAATGATCTATATACACTGTTGATACAATAGAAATATACATTCAGTATACATTGCAGATCAGATTTTTTTTCAAGTTTAACCAACTCGAATCTCCTCTAAACAATTTCAAAATTTAGATATGAGTTTTTTTTAATATTTCGAGTCTTTCAATATATTATTCACTTGAAACGAATCATATTTATTGCATGACGATTTTTGAAGTCGAGGTTTGAACATGAAAGAAGAAAAAGAAGAAGAAGGGGAGGAAAACAACGACGAAATAAGTACGAAGAAGAATTCTGCTTTGTTTGGATGGTTGTTACGTATTGTTTTATTTTATAATGTATTACATTGTGTTATATTACATCACATTTTATTGTTTTAATGAATACAATGTTTTGATAATGTACCGTTCTCCGTCATTATATAATATCACATATCCATAATTTGAATGATAAACCTATAAGAAATATAGGGTATGATGTATAGATATTATGAAAACATAGAATAAAAGATGAAATATGATGATTAAGAAAATAACACGATAACCCCAAATAAGTCATTACATAAAATGAGTCTTTTTGTTATTACTAAACTGCAATATAACAAAATTTACATAACAATCAAAATAAAAACATTATATTCAAATCAATAATACAATATATTACAACGGTCAACCAAGTAACTACCATCCAAACAAGGTGTGAAGGAAGAAGGAAGTTTCGAAAGAATTTTACACCGAAAACAATACAATTTATTCAAATATTATAGTTTTTAAAAATATATGATACTTGTTTTTATAAGAAAGTGACACATTATATTATTAATATATTAAAATATGTGATAAATATATTGAAAATGATTAAATGGAAAAAAAATATTATCGCTATATATATATATATGGTAAATATATTTTATATTTATGTAAGTTTTCATATATGTAAAAAAAAAATATATGGTGAACATAAGAGGATATTCACGAGATACTTGTTCTGGATTTTCGTTGATAAAGAAACTTCTAAACGGCTATGGTGTGAATTCAACAAACAAATAAACAAATCCTTCTGCAAATCTCAATTTTCATGGCGGCGGGAAGCTCTACACGTATTTTCCTTTGTATACTTCAACAATTGCTTTTATAGAGTCAAATTCGGTATGTTCACGTTCTACTCCATTTTTTTTTTTTGCTTCAAATTTCAACTTGATCATTACTTTCTAGTGATTTCTAGACTTGATACGATGACGATCAATCCGGAGAGTATTACATCGTCAAGCGACGGCAATAACAACCTCCGAAGGCGGCGTAGCGGCGGCGGCGGCGGTGATAGATCTGTGAATGATGTGACGGAGTTGGATTCGAGCTCTGTGGATGCTTCGAGTAGCTCGGATGATGTAACGAGTGACGTCATGGATGGAAGTGGAAACGGAGGATTGGATAGGGTGAGTGAGGCTGTGAGTACGACGATTGGGAAGATTAGTGATGGAGATGGAATTCAGGAGGAGCAGAGGAAAGCGAATGAAACGACGCCGTTGAAGTATGTTTATAGAGCGTCGGCACCGGCTCACCGGCGGAACAAGGAAAGTCCTCTTAGTTCGGCCGCTATTTTCAAACAGGTAAGTTCTGAATTTGAGGTACTTAATTAATTGTTTCGTTCATTACACTACTCGCTAAGCAAGGAATCAGGACTTTTTAGCTAATGTGATTGGTTGCTGAGGCATGATTTAAATTTTATGAATTCAAACTTAGACATGCTATTTGTTGTGATTTTAATCATTTTTACGTGTAAATTTATGTGTTTGCATCGATAGTAGTGCTTGGACACTCCATCTGCCACTGATTGGTCGTTGATTAGCTTTTTGAGCTACAGTAAAAAGTTGTTCTTCTGTTCAGCAGACTTTATTTTTAAACCTCACCACTATAATTATTTAAGAATTTGTTTCTAATTCTAATAAATAAAATACGTGTTAGGTTCCAGTAAGTATTGAGTACAATTCTGTCCAACAGAATCCATTAATCCAACTAGAAAACATTGCAAAGATGAAACTTTTGCCCAAGGGGCAAAAAATAAAAAATACTAGGTGATTCTTTCTGTTTGTTCTAGCCTCCTGATTCATGTTGTTGGTGGGAGGTGGCAGGTATCATGTGGACTTAATCGAGGTGCGCGAAAGTTGGCTCGGTCACCACGGTATAAAAAGGGACCTTTTGCACAAATGGCAATAATTTTGTTTCTACTTACACATGTACTTCAAGCAATAACTACCTCCATATTAGTTGGAAACATAGGCTGGTATTAGTAGGTTTGCTATGCTGAAAGCTGCAAACTACCTCGAGTATACTCAATTTTATCTCATAAGAAAGGACTTTAAATAAAAATCTCAGGAACCTATATTTTGTTCTCGGTTCTTTGGTTAAGTTCTTTTGGGTGCAAAAAGGATTACTCCAGGAGCACCAAAAAGGTATGCCAGTTGCCGACTTTCAACCAGTGAGCATCTTACGAGCAGCTATTGTTACCCTCAGCAGAGAGCATAGTAATTTTGTTAAGAGGGTCACGATCCTTGCAGGATTGAGGAAGATGCCATTTATAATGGAGCCTGGTCGCTATGATTTTAAGAACAAGATATGTGGAATAGACGATGAGCCAATGCGCCGTTTGGTTTGATTAAAAATAGAAGCTTTTGCTGTCAGTTGAATTTATTAAATTTTATTCCTATTGTATTGTGCTTAGTTTATGGGTGGAAAAGCAGTAGGTGACTTGACAATGATAGAATTGGCATATACTGTTTTAATTGCATTATCATCATTCACTAATGTTTCATAAGCTAACCAAGACAGTGGAAGTTAACAATTTCTGGTGTAAAGAATCTCAAATTCACAGTATTTGGAGTTGCATTCAGGTGTCTTATGGTGATATATAGCATAATTAGTCTGAATTCCCCGTAAATAAGTGGCTGTAGAGCGCTTCTCTAATTTAGTTGGTGCATCTTGTTGCAGAGTCATGCTGGCTTACTCAATCTCTGTATAGTGGTGCTTATTGCCGTAAACAGCAGGCTGATTATTGAGAATTTGATGAAGGTATGTATCTCTCTAATGTGAGTTCTCTGTTCCAGTTGGCTAGACAGTTGAAATCTTCCCCATATATGATTAATCTTTATTGACATCAAAGAATCACTCTTAGGGGTGGTAATGTGGCTGGCCGAACAAGTGAATAGCTTAGAATTGTAGTGTTTTATTAAAAACAATTGAAGGAAATCATAGGGTTATGTACTCTGAGAGCCCTAAGTGTTTAGTTTGTCATTGCAGTAGATGAATATGTATTTAATTAAGCACTTAGTGAGGAACCCACATCCCATATTGGGAGTATTTCCACCCTGAAATCTACTGGGAAATATGAAACTTTATAAATTGCTTTCCAAAGTGCTATGCTGTTGCCGGAAGATTATGGTCTCAAAATTCAAATAGTTATCATGAAAATCTGGAAAGGGGATGGGGATAATGGGTTTTGGAAGAATCTGATAGAGTGAGAACATGTGAATTGCAATTAGAATCATGAATTTTAGGGATTTTTTGTAAATAATTGAAAAATGACAGAAAAGTTGGAGGGTGAGGGGGAGAGGAACAAGGTGAGATGGCACATTATCATGGGAAAAAGCACAGTAGAAAGTGGCGGGCCGTGACGGTTGAAATCTCTCCTGTCTGAACTTGCCAACTTGCCCCGTTGCTCTCTCTAATCCCTGTAACGTCTTAGCAACTATCGGGTTATAAGATATGAATATATTTCAGAGGGTTCTTGGTGTTCATGTTGCACTGACAATATTCTGACTACTATTGCAGTATGGCTTGTTAATTGGGTCAGGCTTCTGGAGTAGTTCAACATCAGTAAGAGATTGGCCACTTCTGATGTGCTGGTAGTGTTCTTAAGACCTTTCTTAATCTGTGTATTATGCTCACATGCGAAATAAAACATTGAAGTTTTTTACTTACTTGCAGTCTTAGTCTTCCGATTTTCCCTCTTGCTGCTTTTCTTGTCGAGAAAATGGCACAGAAGAAGTATATGACTGAACATGTAAGTCAGAATAACCTCTTCGTTCTTCACTTCCTCTTTTTGATAATTCTTCCATATCAATTAAATGTCACTGCTCAGACATGGACCAGTCACAGTGTTCAAGAAGGTATACACCAGAATAATTCTGGCTCTCATGACTTGTCTGAACTCGTGTTACCTTTTATTGTTTGACTTTATGTCCAGCCAGTAACTTTTCTAACTGATCCTGCAGGTAGTTGTCACTCTTCACATAATTATAACGACAGCTTCCATTTTGTATCCAGTTCTGGTCATCCTCAGGTTTGTTCTCATACGAGGTCATGGAACTTTGATATATACATCCTCCTAAGAAGTTGCTAAGTGAGCCTTCACTGGCGGGATGTCTCTCAGTGTGTGTTGTAAAATTGAGGCGATGTTATGGTAGAACTGGTGAATTTAAATGTCAACGGTGCACTATTATCTGGGTTGTAGTAGTCGTGCTTATGAACTAATTTTAATTTCTAATTTGGATTTTCGTCAACAGATCATCTTTGAACATTAACCTGTTGCATTTTGGATTGTAACGGAACTTTATGGTTGAATTAGATTAAGAAATTAGAGAAGTAGTAAAAGAAAATTAGTCGTTTATCTGAATTAGAAATTTGTTGCATGCCACTATGTCCATATGGACAAGGGAACAAGTGAAACATTGCTAATTCAGAGTTTAAAGCCATATTTGAACTTAAATTCACATGGTTTATACTTCATCTATTTCAACGAATTGCAGTTTTTATTCTTTCGTCCATATAAGGATAGTTTATGTGGAATTATTATTTGTGCACTACGTGTATATGTTTTTATTTTTTCTTCGTTGCTCTTTTCTTCTCTATAGACAGTGGTTGCCTAAGGTCTAACGGATGCTTCTTTTCAATGCCTTTTGCCTTTGATTACACTGGGTCGGATAGCTGCTTGTTCAAACTGTGTTGAAATTTAAGTTGAGAGGAGAGGATCTTCAATTATGTTTGCCAACTCTATTTTTTTGCTTATGTACATTGAAATATCTAGTGAGTCAGAGGTATTTTCAATTTCACAGGTGTGATTCTGCTTTTCTATCGGGTGTCACACTGATGATGTTTGCTTGCATTGTGTGGATGAAACTAGTTTCTTATGCACATACAAATTATGATATGAGACAGCTTGCAAAGTCTGTGAATGAGGTATGACTAGTTTATTTCTTTGTCATGGATCCACATCTGATCTTGATTAAGGCTTCTCCTGAAAATTTTCTAGACAAACCAACTTCTCTATTTAAGCTTCGGTACTCGTTCTGGTATTTTGGTCATCTGAGATAATGTTCTGAATATGGAGTCTCTCAGTTAAGTTTTTAAATGTTTTCAGGGTGAGAATTCCGAAATCAACTACTCTTACAATGTTAGTTTCGAGAGTTTGGCTTACTTCATGGTTGCTCCAACTTTATGCTATCAGGTAGGATCAGTTGACCTTTCTGAAGTTGTCAGTGACTTTCTTCCTTGGTAGAGTACTTACTACAAGTGCATTACAGCATCTGATGTTTCTCTAGATTCACCAAGATTTAATTAAATAACTCTGTTGAGCAATTTAGTTTGATTTTTGAAAAATTCCATTATCTTTTGTTTCCTGCCAAGTCTGCACAAATTTAAAGAGATTGTAGGTCTTTGATACTACTACCTTTTATGTGATTTTATTGCCAAGCATGTCCTTGCCTGAAGTATTCATATGCATGTTAAATGATGAAGCAATTGGACGTATGCGAAAAAGATTAAATTGGAGCACCAAATATTGATATGGTCGTTGGACAATTTTTTTCAGTCACGTGCTGATATTATTTTGGAGTAGTACTTTTATTATTGCGAACATGTGCAGATCCTGCTTACGTTTGGAAGTACTTGTATTTCATACTGTATAATACTTGAATGTGGTGTGGGCAGATTCAGTGGGGCTACAGTTGGTGAATACTACAACTGAGGCCCCTACGGTCCTTTTTCCCATGGATTGAAGTCAAATTCCTTTCATAGTAATAGGAAATCAAGTATCATCAGTCATCTAAAAATGAAAATTTCATGAAATTTTTTACCAACTCTCTTACTATTTGTTCCACCAACTCATTAGTTTTGGATATGTTTATTCTGTTATCTGAAGCTTAGCTATCCTCGCTCTGCATCCATTCGGAAGGGTTGGCTGGCCCGCCAACTCATCAAGCTGGTAATTTTTACAGGATTAATGGGATTTATCATTGAGCAGGTAAGTTCTCTTGAGCTTGACAGTTCAACGTGCCTTCACTCCTGTCAAAGTAAACTATATTAACTTTGAGCATCTTAATACAGTATATTAACCCGATTGTGCGAAGCTCACGACATCCATTTGAAGGAAACCTTTTATACGCCATCGAGAGGGTATTGAAGCTTTCAGTTCCAATTTTATATGTCTGGCTCTGCATGTTCTACAGCCTCTTTCATCTTTGGTATGTCCTCTATATATGATTTATAAATTTAGTATGCTTATGCATTTTATTTGTAGTTCATTGTCTTTCTTCCCATATTTTTGGATGTTCCAATCTTATTTGCGAGGTTTTTATACTTGATACTAAAACGAGTGTTAGGACATTCTTACTGTGTGTATTTTGTCATCATGCTTACCATTTTTTCATTTCAAATATGTTTAACTAAACAGTTTTGTGTCACTTATTAACCTTTAAAGTGCAAATCACATTATACTTGAAACTAGATTATCAAACTGCCATGAGTACTGAATTGAGGGGGCGAAAATTTGTAGAACCAGAAGGTGCAAAACTGGAGGTGCTTAATGAATCTGAGTGGTTTTAATTCAGTAAAATTATATTCCTCCTCGATATATCTATCCAAAGACCAACACATAGCTGGCAACTGTTAAATGCCGGAGCTGGAATTTGAATGGGTATACTGCAAGACTCTTGTGTTAGATTATGAAAAGGTTCACATTTCAGGATGAAACGCCAGGGACTTATTTTGTTTTAACTGAAAAACTACTAATATATCGATTATTTTCATATATGGATTATGTGTTCTAGCATTGCAACAGAATGAATTCTATTTACATAGTACATCTCTTTGTAGACTGAATATACTTGTGGATCTTACCGCAACAGAATAGCTCTATTTACATAATAATCACTCTGTAGGTTAAATATACTTGCGGAAGTTCTGCGATTTGGGGATCGTGAGTTCTATAAAGATTGGTGGAACGCAAAAACAATTGATGAGGTATATTAAAACATCATACTGTCTTGTTCTTTTTGTTTCTTCATCCCAACAATTTCAGAGCTTGCTAGAGTTTCTCATTTATTTCTTTTTTGTTGTTGCACCATTGTGGCTGCTGTTATCAGTATTGGAGACTTTGGAATATGGTATGTACTTCTTCCTTCTTTTTATGTCATTGCCGATTCTTATGCATGCAAATCATGTGTTTGTCTTCATTACCTAGAAGTGAAACTTTAATTAATATCGGCCTGGTTTAGTCTTTGTTGAACATTTTTTTGGACATTAAGTAACCCAAGTGTTGGTGACAACTGCAGCCTGTACATAAGTGGATGGTTCGTCACATCTATTTCCCATGCTTAAGAAATGGCATACCTAAGGTACTTTTGGAGTTCTCTCGTCCTAGTTTCTAATTTGTTTTTGAGCTATTTTTTGTCTGCTTACTTTCTAATCTTTTGTGCACTATTACAACAACTTACCAAGTATAATTCCAAAAGTGGGGTTTGGGTAGGGGGAGGTGTACACAACCCTTTGCCCCAACCCTTGAGGGGTAGAAAAAATGTTTCCGATAGACCCTCGATCGAGAACATGTCTGAAAGAATTGCAAAAGTAAAAAGCAATGATCAAAATAATGAAGAAAGAAAAGCAGCGACAATAAAATAGTGTAGATACCCAAAGTAAATGAATTAACTGTTACAATAATTGAAGGTTAAGATATTTATCCTTGTATGCTGAGGTTAAAATTTTATCTCACACAAACATACTGCTTTTCCTTTTCTTTTTTTTTCTTATATAACATAAGCACAATCATACTGCTCTTAACCATTAGCATACTTGTTGAAATTTGAAGAGAGAGAAAATAAAGAAGAAAGACAGCAAGGGACATACACACTTGCATATTGAAGAAACAAGCTTCGATGTGATTTTCAACACTTTAACTCGAGTGATCTTGCTAGATAATGAAATGCACTTCAAAGTAGAGCACATAAGCTATTCGTGCAGATAAGCTTTTGTGCGATTAATATCTTAATATACACGAGACATGGATGAAAAAGTTTTTTTCCTGATGAAGGTTAAAGTGCTATTAGTATTTATGTTTTGTGACAGAGAAGTGAGAACAGTATAATATACGATCAAATAAGTGTTTTTTGGGTCCACATTATACTTCATATCTTTCATGTCATTTATTTTTCAGTTTGAGTTTTAAGTGTATGCCTGGTATCAAGCACTAGTCGCTGCTTTGTATAGTTTTATCCGCTTTCTACTTTACAAAAGTTTTGGCCTTACTATTGTATACTAGATCTTATTTTGTGATCTGTTGAATTAGTTTTAATTGCCACTTGATTCTTGGTGCAGGGAGTTGCAATGGTGATCTCTTTCTTTATATCTGCTGTTTTCCATGAGGTATGTGGTTTTTGTTCCCTTCCATCATCCATTTTTAAACCAGGTGGCGTATATAAGCTTATAAAAACAAAAAACAATTACGTGTCAACAAAATGATTGGCTTTCGATGACATGTGGTATCGTTATCTTCAGCTGTGTATTGCTGTTCCTTGTCGGCTATTCAAGTTTTGGGCATTCCTTGGAATCATGTTTCAGGTAATGGATCATTCACGTGTGTGTAGTATATACAAGTATATGTATGATGGATATATATTCGGGGATAAGAAACGAGATGTAGTCATAAAATAGTGACACTGGAGCAAAGTTTATGTATCATCATTTGACAGTGTGAATATTGACATTTAGTGATGTTTCTCTCTGAGCAGATTCCCTTGGTCATACTAACGAACTTCCTGCAAAACAAGTTCAAAAACTCGAATGTATGTCTTTCCGCCTTGTTTTCATAAGCTTTCGATGATTTATTCTCTTTTTCGTGGGCATATCCATTGACAGTACGTCTCAACTTTTTTCAGGTGGGCAACATGACATTCTGGTGCTTTTTCTGCATTGTTGGTCAACCAATGTGTGTGCTTCTGTATTACCATGATGTGATGAATAGAAATGGTAGCTCAAGTTAAAGCTTCATCGTCGATCATTTTGTTGGACCGCGACTCACTAGTGAGTATCGCAGTTTTGAACTATCTGATGCTTTACTTATATGCTTGAAATGGAGAAAATTCTTTTCTAAAATTTGACACCAAGGAATTGAACAGAATTGTTGCTTTGTATTATATCTTTCTTTTGATATTTAAGAAATGTATATCATTTTTTGTTGAGGTAAAATGTAATAAGCTCAAATTAGTGATAGTGTTCTAATTTCGAATTTTCCCTATTTACTATTTGACATGCATTATCGTTATATACATTACAACCTTTGTTTGAACAAATGTTTTATAAAATTAGATATTACTTACATGCAAAGGTATCGAATTTTTTTAAAAAAAAGCAATGAAATTGCCTTCTCCAAGTCCAAATTATGTCAAATTTACGAAGAAATTTTTATTTTTACACGTAAAAAAATCTATAATTATTTTCGTGAATGTTTTTCTTTTATTTAAATCGTAAGTCTCTAACAGAAGTAGAGATATATAATATCATTTCAAAACAATTGAATAATAACCTCATAGATAACTCAAAATTAATTCCACATTAGAAAATAAACACAATTGTTGGAAGAAATAAAAATAGAATAAAATTATATATGTTAGTGAAAATGGAAGACTTAAGATCCAATTCATATAAAGAGTCAAGAATACCAATATACCATTAGAAAATTTCACTTATATTGCTAGTTGAACTAATTAATGTCAAACTCAACTACTTCATATTTATGTAACAACATTAACAAAATGGAGATTTTCAAAGATGTAAAATTCAAGAAATCAAAATCAACTTCAAAGTAGTGGAGCTCCATTGTTGACCTAGACTATGAGATTTTAATTATTCTAGGTTCGAACTCGAGATCTCTAATTAATAAGGATAGAGGGATTTCAACTATCTCATCACTACTCCAGGTGATGATAAGGATTGATACTGAAGAAAATGATTTTTCTTGCTTGGATCAGTGGCGTAGCCACGTAGTGTCAATGGCATATATATAAGTAAAATGATATACGAAATGTTTAAATAACCTATTTTGGACACCCTTAACACAACAAGTTGCTATTTCTGAACACTCTTTAAGAAATTTCTGACACCGCCACTAGCTTGGATGAATATTGCCACCCCACGGCCACTAATTTTTTCAAAATAATGGAAAATTTGTTACTCGTACGATGTTTGTTTTGATTGTTATATTATAAAATAAATATTAGGTAAAAACCATTCAACAAGGTAACGAAAATTAAGAACCATTAATTATTGATATTGTTCAAAAGTTAAACCATTATATTAAAATAAATAATATATATATTTGAGTTGTGACTTGCTATTTATTCAAAATTGTAAAATAAATAAAATTAAAAAATAAAAGAGGATATGTTATTGACTTAGATTGGTCCACTTTTGACTTGGAATGGTCCTAAGTGAAACAAGAAAATTTAAAGTGTTATTCAGGGTAGGTAGGAATCATGGTTAGGACTGAGGAATTTTAAATGCGATGTATAGAGTTTGACACATTTCTGATATTAATAGGTCGGAAAATAAAGTTCTACGAGTTTTTAATACAGTCGACCTTAACTAGTTTGAAATTCAACGCCGATTGATTGACTTGACTTTTTAGGTTAGTTGATTGGCATTATTTATGATGTTTAGGTAGAATAGGAAGAATGATAATACAACACTTGACTTTGGTTCTTTATATTTTTAGATTCAAAGAATATTAACAAAGTGATCGAAAATAAATGAATAACGAAAAAAAGGTTAGCGATACCCGTGAACTATTGAAAATATGACAAAAATGTCCACAGTTTGGTTTTTGATGCAAATTCACCCTTCTTGTTGTTTTGTAAAGATAGATAACAACGACAAATTCAATGTATAGTGTAGAGTATAAAGGGCTTGTTTTTGATTGATCGTCAATAACCTTCCTCCTCTATTCGATTTTGAGACCAGCAATGTGAACGAGCTTAAACAGATTTAAATTACAAGATTGGACATAGAAACTTTGGTATATATATGTAAAGAGCTATCATTTCAACTTCAATTCATTGATGCTAAAAAATATGAAAAAAATTGTACAAAAATGTTAATCAAAGCCATCATTGAAAACTTTGATAAAAGATGATTAATTAGGCTAAATGAAGCCATCTTGTACAAATAAATCAAACATGAATGAACGAATAAATAACGATTTTAGTTAGTTTGTTGCATCTACTTCTCCATCTTTAGTCAGAGGTCAGGATACTATAAACGAACAAGTGAACATGACTCGTGGTCCTGATCAAGCAAAAGAAATGGGTCGGATACTAAAACCTGTTTTCGAGACATCCATCATCAGCTGGTGCAAATGTAAAATGTTGCTTTAGTTAGCTGCTGAAATAGGTGTCCTTGGACTAGGTAGTCCCATATATGCAATCCTAGGAGAAAGACGAATCTTCGGGCTAGGTCTTGGTGAGGGGATAGGGCCATACATGTTGAAACCTCCGTTAGCAACTCGTGGTGACAAGTTAACTTGTTCAAGTGCTCGGAACTGTAACTCCGTTGGATATTCCCTAACACAACCAATACGAGGCCCGTTTCCTGTTGACCATTTTCGAGACAAACGTTTAGCAAAGCTAAACGATGTGTCTTCTTGTTTCTTGTCTTCGCGTTCATCATCTGTTGTATTAACCTCTCTCTTTTCCTCTGTTTTTTCCTCTGTACTTCTCTTAGGTGATTCTTTAGTAATGAGTGATTGATGATTCGATCCCTCGTTGTTAACTCTAAACGAATGATCATCATCGTCAACAGAACATCTCTGTAAAAGAAAAGAAAAAAAAGGTATCATCTTTGTTAGCAAATGTATTTCTTTTTACACATTTCATAACGTGTAACGCCACGAGGATGCATTTACCTTGACGTTTGTAAGATCTACGCTATGCTCCTCGAGGAAACTAATGAATTCCCGGAAGTTCTCTTCCGTGGGGTGATAGTGTCCGCTGTATGGCCAAATAGCCTTCAAAACGCCACCATGAGCAACGAGTCTACCAGCAGCAGTAGTTGCACCACCCGATAGGAAACTCGAGTGTTGAAACACACCTTTCTTCTTTTTTCCTACGTACAATGTTCTTGTTGTGCTAAGAACAAAGATCCATTTTGAACCCTCTACTGTCTCCACAAAGACACCGTTTTGTTTATAGACAAGTTTCCCGTCCTGAATAACTACTTCATACGATTCACGTTCTTTCTGAAACAGTAAAAGAACCATTCTAAGATTCAACAATGCCGTAAAATGGATCATTTCGTTGTTCTTATCATTTTTTAGGACAAAAATCGCAGAGTTTGGACTTACAGGTCCTAGATACTTGATGCATTGATGCTGCAGATTGAACCTAGGACACTTCTCGAGATTTATCTCTTTCCCGTCTCCAACATCCAACCTACAACGAGAAATAGACAACGTAAGATGTCAGGTAGGTTGCATTTCAACTTCCGGAACTACACATTCAAAATCTTGGAACAAAACACTCACCAGTAGAAGAAAGGTTGAGAGCTTTCACTTTCGAACCATATATCGTAGTAGAAGTGTAAGTTGTGACCATACCGGTGTCGTGGATCAATCTAGACCAACATCAGAAGATATAAACAATCAGTTTCGTGATCATCGGAACTCCTTTGACTGAAATAATTCAAGATTTCGAAAAAATTTCAAGAACTTACAGCTTCTAGCCAATGCTGCAGAGCAAGTTTCTGAGCTTTTTCATCTTTTGACAATCCTTTACCAACTTTGGCAGCTCGTGTACGTGCTCTAGCCCACCGCGATACAGCAGTTTCCGGTTTCTCCACGTTGAAGAACGAAACAGAACTCCGTTTGAGAGCTGCGAAATCCAAAGCCTTCCACCTATACATACATATATAACACAACCACTTCAATACACCGACAATACAACAACAACAACATATCCAGTGTAATCCCACAAGTGGGATCTGGTAAAACGAGACAATACAACAACAACATATTCAGTGTAATCCCATACGTGGGGTCTGAAAAATCGGACAATACAATAGGCACATTATATCAAGATTCGATTTTTCAAAAATGTCAAGACCCCATAAACCAGATACAACAGAGACATTACAAATCAAGATTCAGTTTTTCAAAAAAGTTTAAGACCCCATAAACCGAACATTACAACAACAACATATCCAGTGTAATCCCACAAATTGGGTCAGGAAAAAACGAACAATACAATAGAAGACACATTAAATCAAGATTCGATTTTGTGAAATAAGTTAAGACCCCATAAACCAGACAATACAACAGAGACATTACAAATCAAGACTCAATTTTTTTTCAAAAAAGTTAAAGACCATATATACCAGACAACACAACGACAACATATTCCGTGTAATCCCACAATTAGGTCTATAAAAAAACCGAACAACACAATACAATAGAGACATTAAATCAAGATTCGATTTTAAGTCGACATACCATAGTTCTTCAACCACAACAGCACAATCTGCAAGATTTCTTCTTGTCCTATAACTCTTATACACTTTCTGAAGCTTAACAGCAGCAGCATCAAGCTCACTAACAGGTCGTGGAGAAAACAGAATCGAAGGCTCGGGTAATGAAACTGTTGCTCTCGTCTTTTTTTCGTTCCATTCTGATATATCTAAGTCTTGAACCAGATTCTTGAATGATAATGTGGTCTCTAACATCAGTTTCTTTGGATCACAGTTCCTTAAATTTATCGAATTCTTCCTTGTCATCTTATCGACTTCATTATTCGATTGTATAATAGTTTCCAAATGTGTTCCTTTAAAGCTATTCGATCGAACAGTCATCTCCCAAGTTCTTTTTAGCAAGATACTAAAAAAGCCTTATAACCTGCAAATTTGTTGGATAATTCCATTAAGCCAAACAAACAAACAACAACAACAACAAACACATCTCGAGAGTGTACACAGATCTTACCCCTACCTCATGGAGATAGAGAGACTGTTTCCAAAAGATCCTCGATTCAAGATCAAAGAAAGAACTACAACTACAACAACAACATACATCTCGAGAGGGTAGAGTGTACGCAAGTTTTACCTCTACCTCGTGGAAATAGAGAGACTGTTTTCAAAAAACCATCGATTCAAGGTCAAAGAAAGAACTACAACAACAACATACATCTCGAGAGGGTAGAGTGTACGCAAACCTTACCCTATCTCCTCGAGATAGAGAAACTGTTTCCAAAAAACCTCGATTCAAGA